TCTTGTCGATGACTGCAGCCGGCGTTGGTATCACACTCACAGCTGCCACAGTTGTGGTATTCGCTGAGTTACACTGGAATCCTGGGGTATTTCATTCAGTGATTCGAGATTCGCTTTGTTGTCGTTTGAGTATTTTATTGCTATCTGTTTGCAGACATTGAACCAAGCAGAAGATCGAGCGCATCGAGTCGGTCAAAAGGATTCAGTCTTCATCCAGTACTTATTGGCGAAGAGTACGGCGGATGATGTTATGTGGCCATTGATACAAAAGAAACTCGACGTGCTCAGCTCGTGTGATCTCTCGTCGGATTCATACAAGGTGATCGCATTTTTACGTTCATTTACCAGATAGCGGTGATGTGTATATTCATTAATCATTCATTCTGAAATTCAGGACGTTGGTAAAGTCGAGAAGAAAGTTCGTAATGAAAGTAAGAGTGGTATCGGTGAATATTTTACACAAGCGAAACGCAGTAAGCCGAATGAAGACGAAGATCAGTGATTAAAAATGTTGCTCTTTGTATAAAATTTTCAGAGATTCATATCATTCCATGAAGCCTTTTTCGATTGAATCTGTAAATGGTTTATTATTATGACTGTAGCATTCTTCGCGAATCTGTATCAGATTCGTTTATAAATTTGCTATTGATGATGAATGCATGATTTGTTAAAGAAAATGTTTTCACCTCATTGGAATATGTATGTATATGCTCCTTTTATCAGTCATAACTTGTGACCAATCGTTTTGATGAAATTTATGAATTCATGAAACAAAACGATTACCTCGATGATCATTATGAAGTCTTTTTTGATCACTTTATCCAGCTCATTGGTGTGCTTAATGTGACTTATTAAAAATGATCTTATGAAATGTTATTCATAAATCATAAGATTATTTCCTTGAACAGTTCACACTCTCTGCAGATATGCTCACGTTCGTGAAAGAATTTTTTGAACTGTTTTTTGTTTAACTTTCAAGGGTGAATTTGTATTGATAGTAATGATTTTATCGTATTAATGTTTCGGATGACATTATTTGTGTGCGCACACACTGATATCATATCAGTTGTCGATCTCTCCAACAAGAATGTTTACGATACTCGGCGCTTTTGTTCGTGATCTCATTCAGTGCTCATATCAAATAAACCTATATCTCTTTTGGCTGACTGAATTACTGTCAAATGATTCATTGTCGGTTAAATTAATTCCATAGTGACTGGTTAGGGTTGTTTTGTTTGTTTTTTTTTGAAGTGTAGAGATGAGACTGAGGAGGGAGCGTGGCGATGAAAGAAAATTGTTGATGAGAGAAAAAAATTGGCGACGTGAAGTCTTCCTTGCTGCGAAACAACGATATGATTTTCTAACCGGGCGGTTATATGCGGATATTGTATACTTCGCGGGGTCATTTTTTTGTTAAAGATTCCTTAACAATGTGCTAAAGTTAACACCGTTGCAAATTAGTGATTTTTCATTAGAAGTTGTTGTCGATTAATTGTATGGTTGGCACTTTTGCTGATTTTTTCATCTATAAAAAGCCCAGATCCTGCTCAATCGAATGAAGTACAAACATCAACATGTTATT